CCTGTATGAAGTGTGTGTCTGTAGCAACGCGTGCCAAGGAGCACCTGGGCCCCGCTCGCTGTTGTCAGCTTCAGCGCTGACTTTTCCCCTCGCCCCTCAGTGTTGCCTGGGCCTGTCCAGAGGAACTCATGAGTAGGCTTTTTTTTTTTTTTTTTTGGCCACACACATTCAGGACTACTGAGCTACAGACATATAGTGCTACACACTCATAAACAAAGCCCTGTGGCCTGCCCTTACCTCACTCAAGTACCGCCACATAGCCCTCCATACCCCAAGCCATTTCCAAATAGAGAAGCCCACACCAGAGCATTTTATAAGCTTCTCGAGGATGAGGCTGTGAGCCATTCTTACGAGCATGAATTTATGATGTACTATGAAGACAGAAAATGAAAGTATATTCTTTCATTTTTTTCAGGCTTTGTCCCTCACTGGCCACTTTGCCCCAGATAAGCCACTGTCCTCTCTGTTCTCCCAGCCTCACCCGCAAACCAAGGAGGCTGGCCGACGTCAGGGTCCTGCCATCACCAGGGATGTGAGATGGCTCCTGTTGTTAGTATGCATTTGGGAAGCTGACATCCAGAGGCACCAATCCAAACTCTCCCGCAGTGGGTCGTGTGCAAAGCCACCACCTGACAATTTGTGAGCCGGGCGGGGCATTTGGCGGATGATTCTATAGAACACTGTCAGTGCTTTGGTTATACCAAGTGATGCATGAGTGCCAATTGACAAGTCATCATGTTCAACTGGCTGGAGCACAAAGCTGAGTGAAGGAGTCTGTGGACCCAAAGTCCATTATCAGCTTTCATATATATCCTCAATTAAACAGAAGTGGAAGAACTATCTAAGTTGATCTTTAAGCTCAGATTTCCAACTTTTAAATAATTTCTCCCTTAAAGACCCCATGTTTTGAGTGATTCCTGGCTACCAGGTGAACAGCAAACATTTACTATAATTCATGTTTCTACTGTGATGGATGTTAGCCATACAGCTACCACTGAGATGCCTTGGCGGCATAAGATAATCACCAGTACTCCACATTCGGCTGATATATTTTCATCATAAAGCAGAGAAATGTGAGGCAGACACGACTGTTTGCAGGAAACGGACACCTGCCATTGGATGTTTTGAAATAATGAAATCCACTCATGGACACTTAGAGTTCCAGAACTTATGCTTCTAGCACCTTATTGCAGAATAAGATTGAGTTTGCTTGTCTGGGCGTATGGGAATTCCTGCTAGTAATGAGAATAGTAACCACATGAAGAGGGATCATGTTTTTACCCTTAACAGGCTCCGCTTGCATCATTTATTTTCTGAAGAGTCACAGCGATGCTCTTTCGTGGCTTTTGTAGTAATCCCAGCCATGAAACGTTCTCCAGGAGTCACTTAGCCATGAATTCGGGATGACAGTCAACAGTATCGCTTTTACTCCTACCTCATTCAGATGGTAAGGAGATTTCTCTACGGGTCTCTGCACAAAACATTCTCTGCTTAAGTAGCTCAAAAGAGAAGTAGATAGGATGGCTTTTGAGAGGACCCACAATTTGGTTTTTAAGCAAGTTTAAGTACCGAGAAAATAGAAGGTTAAAAGCTGTATTGTCTGGTAGATACAGTGGGACATTTCTAAAAGAAAGTTGGTTTCTATCTTCATTTACAACCTTCAGTGGCCTGAGAGAAATTCATGCCAAAGATCACTCATATTAAAGCCACTTGAAATCCTAATACAGTGAACTTGACTAATTATAGAAAACGGATGCCAGGGGACAAAATAATTTAGCAAGGCAAATTAAGACAGTTACCTTTTCAAAATTACTCAGATTTATCTTTACTCATATCTCATTCTAAAATCAAATCAGAACCTCTATATACCAAGTAATGCCTGGATGCTTATTGTTGTTCTATTTCCTTGTTGAAGGACATCTTGGGTCCTCTCACCTTTTAGTAATTATGAATAAAGCTACTATAGACTTTTGCATACCATTGTTTGTGTGGACATAAGTTTTCAGTTTACTTGGGAAAATACCTAAGAGTATAATGACTGAACTGCAGGATAAGATGCAGTTTAATTTTATAAGGAGTCACCATACTGCCTTCCCGAGTGCTGTGTGGTTCTGCATTCCCACCAGCGATAGATGCAAGTTTTGTTATCCTGGCCAGCATTTCTTATTGGCACTTTTATGAATGGTGGCCGTTCTGATAGGCATATAATGGTGTTGCACTTTTAGTTTGTGTTTCTTGAATGCCAGATGATATCAGGTATCTTTTCATGTGCTCATTTGCCACCCATATACCTTCTTTGGCAAAGTGTCTATTTGGATTTTCTGCCTATTTTTGAAAATTGAGTTGGTTACTCTCTCGTTGAATTGTAAGAGTTCCTTACATGTTCTGTATAAGTCTTTTGTCAGATATGTGATTTGCAAATATTTTCTCCCAGTCTGTGGCTTATCTTAGTCTTTTACCAGGATTTTACAAACAGCAAAGTTTGCAATATTGATCAAGTCCAATATGTCATTTTTTTTTCTTTCAGGAACCATGCTTTTGTGTTGTCTCTAAAACTTATCAATGTACCAAATTTCACATAGATTTCCTCCTACGTTTTCTTCCCAAAGTTTTATAATTTCACGTTTTACATTCAGATCTATGACCTGTGATCCATTTGGATTATGTTTTATATCAGCGTAAGATAGTGTCTAGGTTCATGTGTTTACATCTGAGCATCCCTTTGTTCAGAAAACTGTCGTTCCTTCATTCATGTCTGCACACTTGTGAAAACTTTATTTCTGGGCTCTCAATTCTATTCCATTGACCTCTGTGTCTGTTCTTCTGCCAATACTACACAGCATTATGGTAAGAACAGCTATATAGTAAAAATCTTCAAATCGGGTGGGGTAATGTGGTTCCCCCAACTTTATTCTGCTTTTTCAAAATTGTTTCAGCTATTCTAGTTCCTAAGATTTTTAGATTCAAATTTTAGAATCAGCTAGTCTATATCTACCAAAAATTCCTGCTTGGATTTTGATAGGAATTGCTTAGATTTGGGGAGAATGAATATCTTTACTATAGTGAGTCTTCCAGTCCATGAACATAGTATATCCACTTGCTTAGGTTTATACCTTTGAAACTTCTCAGACCTTGCTTTATGACCCAGCATATGGTGTATTTTGAAAATTTGTGATGTACACTTGAAAAGAATATATATTATGCACTTGTTAGGTGAATTTTCCTATATATGTATATGTCAATTAGGTGAAGTTTATTAATCTTGTGCAAACCCTTCGACTTTTGTTTGCATGTTACTGGGAGAGGCTGAAAAGTATTCCACCATAATTGTGGATTTGTCTAATTCTCACTTTGGTTCTGTTATTTTTTGTTTTATGTATTTAGAGGCTGTTATTAGGTGCATTTAGAATTTAGGATGCATTTAGCATTTAGACTTGGTATACATTCCTGGTCAATTGATCATTAAATAAATATAAAATGTCCCTCATTATCTCTAGCTATGATTATTGCCTTAAAGTCTGCTTTGTCTGATATACACCAACTTTTTTTGGTTGTTGTGTGGCATATCATTTTCCATTCTTGAACCTTCAGTTTTATTCTGTGCCCTTATATTTAAGGTATGAGGTGTGATCAAAAACTACAGTGAATGTTTACATTTAAAAAAATTGTTATAGTAAAAGGCACATTGCCATTAATCCCCCTCAAAGTACTCCCCCTCACTTCAAATACACTTATCCCATCATTCTTTCCACTTTCTGAAGCAGCTCTGAAAGTCCTCTTTCATGAGTATCTTTAGTTGCTCTGTCGTGGCTGCCTCGATGTCCTGAATCAATTCCAAACATTTACCTTTCATTGTCATTTTGACTTTGGGGAAGAGCCAGAAGTGGCACAATGCCAGATCCAGTGAATAAGGTAGATAGGACACACTGTAATGTTTTTATTTGACAGAAATTGACATACCAGAAGCGATGTGTGACACGGAACCTTTCCTTTGTGATCTAACAACACAGTGAATGCTGCTGCCGAGTGCCATCCAGTAGAAAGGCAGGGATCTTCAATACAGGAAGTGACACATCGAACCTTAGTAATAGTGTGTGACAAGTTTCAACTTGTTTGGTGTAGTCAGTCGAGTGTGAGCTTCAGTTGAGAGAAGGTGTGTTTTAAAGTGTGCCGTAAATCATCCTCCATCATGACAATGCTCTGTGTCACACATCGCTTCTGGTAGATGGCAATTTCGGTCAAATAAAACCATTACAGTTTGTCCTCATCCACCTTATTCACTGGACTTGGCACCGTGCGACTTCTGGCTCTTCCCCAAAGTCAAAATGAGTCAGGACATTGAGGCAGCCACGACAGTGCAACTAAAGACACTCACAAAAGAGGACTTCCAGAACTGCTTCAGAAAGTGGCAAGAACGATGGGATAAGTGTGTTCGAAGTGAGGGGGAGTATTTTGAGGGGAATTAATGACAATGTATCTTTTATTTAATTTATTTTTATTTAAACACTCACCGTATTGCTTGATCACACCTCGTAATTTTCTTGTAAGCAGCATATAATTGTGTTGTTTTATTTTGTTTAAATCCAGTTTGAAAATATTAGTCTTTTACTTGTAGCATTTGGTAAATGGTAGATTTACATATTAGGGCTTACATTTATCACATTACTGTTGGTTTCTGCTCTTTTTTCCTTCCCTCTTTGGGTTTGCCTTACTCTTTTTCTAATTTCTTAACATGAAATGTTGGATTATTGATTAATACCTTTTTTAATTTAGTACTATAAATTGAATACTATAAATTTCCCTTGAAGTACTGCTTTAGCTGCATCCCACAGATTTTGATATATAGTCATTCAGTTAAGAATATTTTCTAGTTTTCCTTGGGATGTAGGTTTATGTCTTTCATCCCCAATGCCACAGGTCTCCTGAGACTCAGGGTGCACATCCAATAGTACATGCGTCAGGATGGGCCAGCTGACCACTTTCTTCTCCTTCCCTTGCAGATCACCTCCAATGAAAAGCACCTTGAGAACCTCAAGAATGCAGACAGCCTCCTGCGGACTCTGGAGTGGCTGGCCCCGGCTGGTGGGTAAGTAGGCTTAGGAGGAGCCGTGCAGTCTGTTGGGCTCAGCACACACTCTCACCCATTCCTGTCTCCCCTCCCTCCACACACCAGGACCACCATTGCCCAGCCTGTTAATGGCACTGAGACTCCTCCCAGAGTGGGGAGGGCCACTCTGCCCTCCCACCCCCAGGAAATCCCCACTATGCAGGTGAGGGGGGGCCAGCAGGAGGAGGGAGGAAAGTAGAATGTCTGAGGGAGGTGATACTCTCATCTACATGGAATAGAGAGGAGGGAGTGGATTATGACCAGGTAGGAGATGTGATGAACCTCATGAGAAAGGCAGTGCCCGACAATGAGCAGCCCAACCCAGGGGCATCACTGTCGCCATCTTGCAGAGGGTCTGGAGGTCCGACCCGGGCTGGGGTAGAACCAGCTGCTCAGCCCGCCCTACAGCTGCCTTCTGTGGCCAGACGTTCAGAGGGAAACCTTGGAACCTACAGAACAGACTGACACCCAGAATCTGATGGTGTGAGGTTAGGTCAGTCTCCTAGGCCTCAGCTCTGCAGTGTGTCTAGAACATCCTAGAAATGAGGGGCGCAGACCAAGGCAGCCCTGTCACCCCAGAGTGTGTGGGTCATCCCACAATGACACGGCCCCTGAAATTGAGAGGTGGCTGCAGATGGTGGGGGTAGGGTTTACAAGTCTTGGTTTACTTAGAATGTTAGCGCCAGTGACCAGAGAAAAGCTGTGTGGGATGAAGGGACGAAGGGAAAGTTGTCCCCAGGTCCCCATGCTTGTCAGCTGGCGCTGTCACGGCTCACTGCGAAGGAGAAGGCCCCTCCTCCTGGGGGACCCCGGCCTTCACGGGACATGGTGCCTGGCATTCCCCAGCAATTTCTGTTTCCAGAACCACAGGGTTCTATGAAATCTGCTTCTAGGTGTTTTGGGATGGGTATTCATTTGAAGAAAAATATGCGATTGAGGCCTTGCTGACAAGGTGAGTATGAAGGCTTTGCTCCAACCAACCTTCTGGTACTTAATCCTGGAGGGGATGGGGGCAGGGGACACCCTCTCCTGGCCTACCCCACCCCCTTCCTTCATATCCATGGTTCCTGTGATGTGAGGGGAAGGACAGGCCGACTGTGATGTGTCCCCCTTCACCCTGCTCAGCCCCGTGGTATAGGGTGCTGTGAAAAGCACGTCATGTCCAGCCCCAGGGATCCTGGCCGTGTGCCAACAGTAGTGATGACACCGCTCTGAGCAGATTTGTGCCGAGACGGCCGTGGGAGGGTGTTGGGAGGAGTGCAGTTGGGGGGTAGTCCCAGAGCCCTGCCCCCAAGCTGGTTTGTGGGCCTCCTTGCCTAGCAGGGCCTCCGTCCGCCTTTAGGCCAAAGCCAGCAGGTCCTCATGCACCGGCTCCGAGAGCTGGGCCTACATTGGGACCAAATGTGTCAAAACAAAGCTCCGTGCTGGTGGCCTCTCCTGTCCCTGCACCCAGCACTCCAGCAACTAAAACGTCTGTACCAGGCAGAGCTTGTGTTGGGTGGGAGGCTGCTGCTCTGAAGTTGTCTTGTTTGGGTTTGCTCAGGTGGCTGAGGAAGGAAAGGTTTTCTTAGGCCGACCAAGGAGCTGGTGGCAGTGTTCTCAGTTCTGAGGCGGCCCTGCTGGAGGTTGGTGTGCCATCTTTGTCAGTCACTGGGGCTTCTGGGGCTGCTCTGGTGGGCAGGGCGGGCCGCACGCTGCCAAGAGAGCAGCCTGGGCTCAGCAGGGTCCTTGGAGTGCAGAGGAGGAACGCATGGCGCCGTCTCCTGACCGTGGATCCGACTGTGAGCCACCTCTTATGCAGCCCCCACCCCTGGCTGCGGCCACAGCTCCATTTCTGTGTCATCACAAGTGTGCCGCCAGCTAATTTTATACTTCAGGCACACTGCTGTGTCATTCTGTTCTTTGCTAGAAGTTGTTAAGGCACAGGTTTAAATGTGTCTGTTTGCTCCAGTAACAAAGTTTCCATGTTAAGCTCTTAACTGTACATCCACGCCTATGAGAGTAAGAAACCCAGAGCTCCTGGCTGATTGGCCAGGAAGCGGCAGCGTTTGCCGGGTCTGGGATCTTTAGCGGTTTGCATAAGTCAGCTGCCGGCAGGCCCCTTGGGAGGCCCTGGCCAGGCTGGGTGGGGTCTGGCTGCTGTCTAAGTTGCCTTACAGTTCATCGTCTGTGCACTTGGTTGAGGTGTTTTCAGATGTTGAGTGGCAGGGCTGGGAGCCCAGGCCTCGCTTAGGGGTGCTGGCAGGGCCGGTTGTGAGCCCCACTGGGACTGTGCCCCGAGGGCTTCTCACCTCACAGCCTGAGAACCGAAGATGCTGTGCAGGGGCAGCTCTAGGAAGCAGCTGGCCCATCACAGACCAGCCCCTTTGAAAGGGGGCACGTGACCCCGGAGGTGTCTAAGTGTGTCGCTTTGGGTTTTCTCACAGTTCGTCTGCCGATAGTGCAGTGGCTTCCTTGGCCCTGGAAATCCTCCAAGCTGTTGGACACTAGGCGAGAAGGCACTGAACAGCACAGCCACCTCCAGCTGTTTCCGGACCTAATAAAGTCAGCTTGAACCCAGAACATTCCGGCTGATGTGCTCCCTCTGGACCCTAGAAAACCGACTCAGACTAGAGCTCCTTGTTTCCTGTGGACACATCAGGGCTCCCCAGGTTGGCTAGCTGTTCTCAGAATGTTCTTTCCCTGTGTGTGTGGGCCGGGGGAACCACCTCTAAGCCTGCGCTGCCTGAGCTAGACCAGTGCCTGCGGCTGTGAGCGGCTCCCCTCCCGAGGTTAAAAGCAGGACTAGGCCTGAGTGCGTTCCCAGCGCAGCCCCACAGCAAGCCTCAGGATGCGAGTTTTAGCCTCTTGTCGTCCTCCTTGTGCCTGCCTGGCTTCTTCCTTTCAGGGACAACTGATGCCCAGAACCCTGGGGAGGACTGGGCACAGCTCCACTGACAGGCGCAGGTAGTTCCAAGTTTTCTCAAGGAGCGCGGGCTTCCTTGGAGGTCACCTGGTTCTAGATGGGTTGATGGCATCAAGGTAGAACCATCCCCCGCAGCTTCTAGCAGTTACCCCCTTATCCTTGAAACCTTTACAGCATCCTCCTGTTTCCTCACACATCTGCTGTGAAAGGGCTGAGCCCATGAAAATATTTGGTGGACTCTGTGGAGAGGTGCAGGACTGTGGTGCTGAGGAAGGCATACTCTTGAATCTAGGCTAGAAGGCAGGGTGGGTCCTGGGCAGCTCGAGCCAGGTGAGCAAGCCAAGGCTCTTGGTCTAAGGGGTGTCAGTTTCCCGATCTGCTGCCCCCGCTGCCAGCTCGGTGCCCTGTGCTTCTGTTAGAGGATTGGCCCCCCTGATAAACTCTGCCCCAAACCTGGATGGGGCCCTGTCCTAGGCAGCAGCGGCCGTGCACACAGAACGGGTGGCACAGGCAAAAGTGTGGCCATGTGGGCTCCCCTGTCCATGGCATCCCAGAAAGCTGTCTTCCTGTCACCAACAGCCCCACTTTGCAAGCGATCTGGGTAGCTTGACAACTTCCATTTGGTTTTATAATGAAAATAAGCAGTTTCGTACCTAACTCTGTGAAAGGCATGTGTGTCAGTTACCTAATTTAATCCCCACTACCAGCAAAGCAGGATTTAGCTTCGTTTCAGAGATGAGAAAACAGGCTCTGGAGCCAGTCCACTCGCGCGCTGCTCGGACTTGACTCCGTAGCCCTGGTGTCCCCCAGGGGGCATCCAGAGCTCACGCTGTAGATAGTTGGGGTACAAGAGGGTGTCCCACCCAGGAGCAGGGTTTCATTTGCTGTCTTGTGGCCTCACAGCCCACACGGAGGAGGCCCCACTGGGCCGTCCTGTGGGCAGTGTGCCTGTCGCCATGCTGTGCGCCCACGTGGCCCTGGCCTGGCAGGGTTTGCCTGTGCTCCTGGGCCGGGGGTCGGGTGGTGCGTTAGCCGACGGAGTTCCCGGAGGCCTGGCCTTCAGCTCGTTGCTTTGCCTGCTGGGTCCAGGAAACAGGCACAGGTCTCCATTTTCCGGGAACTCTGTTCTCCCCCTGTAAGTTGGTTCTTGGGGGACCACCCTAGAGTTCTGGGCCTAGTGTCCTCCCAGAAGTATTTCAGAGCAACGAAAGATTCATTTCCCTTTTTCCGCTCAGCAGGGAGAAGTCTTTGCTGTTTAAGGTAAAATAGGAAGGTTTAACATTCCAGAACTTTTGTTGACCATTGCTGGCCCTGAGCTCCACAGCACTGCCTGTTTGAGGAAAGGCATATCCAGGCAAGGCGCAGAGATGAAGGTCCCAAGCAGCGCTGCTGCCCAGCCCAGGGGGCCCAGGAACTCAAGCTAGCCCATGCCAAGCCGCGTACCCTGGTGTCGTCCTGGAGTTAGGGGATCCTTTTTGTCATTCTCAGCCCATCCCAATGAGCGAGGCAGGGGACACGAGCAGGCTGGCTATGCGGGCAGAGGGAGGCTGAGGGCAGTACCCTGTCCCTGCTCTCCCCATGCCCTCATAGGTGGGTTCCCAGGCTGGCTCCAGTTGTGAGGGAACAGCTGGCCCCTGGCCGCCGTCACAGCTCTCAGGATTCAGGCAGTGGCAAAGGGCCCAGACCCAGGCACCGCTGGCCCACCGCCTCCACGCTTCAGCCGTTGGCCCTGGCTGAGTCTCCCAGGTGCCAATGGTGTCACTGAAGTCGCAGAGGTAGGTGGCCACGGAGGCAAGAGCACGAGGGACGGAGGCAAGAGCACGAGGGACGGGGCCAGGGGAGTGGCCGCACAGGCGACCTCTACTTGCAGCAGGCCTGAAGCTTCGCGACCTTGCCTGAATAGGTGCCCAGTGAACTGTCCCTGTGACTGGCTACAGGTGTCCTGAGAGGATCACCCAGAACAGCTCAGGAGTAGGTCTGCTGGATGCCGCAAGCTTTACTGGCTCTCGTTTCCTGTATCACCAGGTTTTCTGCATTACCTGATGGGGTTCAGGCCAGATGGGACCCTGTAGTATGGCTCAGAAAGTGGGGCTCTGGTGGCCCAGGCCCTTGACCATGGTGAGTGACAGGAGAGGAACTGGGTGTCGCCCACCTCCACTTGACACCCCTTCTTTCTCCCTCCCCTAGCAACGGAAAGATAGGACGAGAGCTGCATCTCTGGTGTGTGGATGTATGCAGGGGCTGAGGTAGGAGAAAGGGGCCTGGCCCCTTGGGACTTGTCTGCAGTGGCATGGGAACAAGACTAGCCAACAGCCCAAGCTTCAGTGTGGCCGAGAGGAGGGAAGTGTGGGAGGTGTGGAGTCCTGCCGTGGAGGCCAGTCACCTCCCTCCAGCTTACTGGAGCCTCATGGGGCGGGGAGGTGCAGTGGACACACACGGCGTAAGGAAAGGCACTACCTTTCAGCCCCACCCTCACCCCCTCCATCAGTCTGTAACTGCCTCTGGCGGGTGACTCATTCAAGGCGAGGAAAGGTAGTTAAGAGTCTCACCTACCAGAACAAAACTGCAGTCATCCGCTTGGCGCTCTGCTTATTAAACCAAACAGCACAGTTCAGATCTTGTTTGTATTACAATAATCGAAATCAGAATTAGAGCTTATTTATCGCAAGGATTCAAATAATCAGATCAAACCTCATGTCTATAATGTCACCATGAAAAAACTTGGTTCTTCAGCTCAGTGGTGGTCACTGCAATGGCATCAATGTCTTATGCACCTGGCCCCAGGGGACCCCTATTCTGATGTGGGAGTCATCTGACCGCTGCCTTGCTTTAGTTCTACCATCCATGGATGATTTCCTTAAAATGGTTTGCCCTTTTGTGTGGATGGGTGAGGTCCCCAGTACGCACTAGCGACTTGCTTTTGCTCAGTGTTAGGTCTGAGATGTCCACCCACGGCACTGAGTGCACACATCGGCTCCTGTGCGGGCTGTCACACGGTGCCCTACCACGCCATCCATGCTGGACCTTGAGGTGAAAGAAAAATCACTACTCCTGATCCTGTTTTTATTTAAAATCTTGGTCTTTTGCTGGTCATGGATTTTCTTCTGCATTGATTTCATCCAAATGGCTACCCGTCGTTCCACGCCTGTATTACTAAGAAGCCCCTGCTTCCGCTGACTCCCAGTGCTCCCTGTCAAGTCGCGCCTCGGTCTGCATCTCGTCCCGTCCTGCCCCCGTCAGGAAGTGCTAACACCTCTAGCTTTCATCAGGCCTCAACAGCTGGGAGAGCCAGTCCGCCTCTTGTTTGCACACAGGTCTTGGCTCTTCCTGGCCCTTTGTACTTCTAAGCGAAAGGCAGAACCACCCTGCTGAAGCAGATTAACGTCCCTATTAAGTTTTTAATGGAACTTCAAAGATAATAATGATTTTAGGGAAAGCTCTGAAAATGTTCTGGTTTTTAAAAGTTCTTTAAATGGAACACCCTGCTGGGGCTCTTCATGGTAAGCTTCTTGCCGTGCTGGCTTGGTCCTGCTTGTCACGCACTGGAAACAAAGCCCCTGACCTGACCTCACCAGGTACACAGATGCTTCCTCTCCACCCGAGTTGCGTTTTAGACCACAGGGAACTGGAGGCTTTCACTGCACGTCTTCCCCAGATGAAGCTGATCTTCAACAAAATGGAAGTGATACACACAGGGTGCCAAAAAAATGCACACACATTTTAAGAAAGGAAAAAACTGTATTAAAATTGTACTAAATACACACCAATAACAAAAGATGAATGTAAGTCATGTGTATACATTTTTTTGGGACCCCCGCTATATTTATCTAATAGTCACGATCTTAATAGAAACACAGTAAATCAGAAACAGCCCTCCCTAAGCACAAAACACTGACTCTTTTTAAAGTCCAAATACAAGTCTTAACAGGTCTGCTGACTCTGCCCTGAGGGATGAACTAAGCGTGTCAGACCTACCACCAGGATGGCAGGATCGCCAGCAGATAGCATGGAAGGAGGCCCATTCTGGTTCTCTGATTATGTTCAGATAAACATAGACACTCAAACCATCTTAATTATCAGTTCAAAGTGGAGTTGAAGGAATTCCCCTCTCCAAGTGAGTCACACTTAGGTGAAGGTGCTTGAAGTCGAAATGCAGGTAGTTAACGCTTCATTATTACCTTAATGGACTGAAACCCTCTTACACATTTGGGGTGGGGGTGCCTATTTGGCTTGCAGTTTTGCTCTATGTGGCCCAGAGACTAGATACCTTCTAAGTGAGGAGACCTTTGGCCACTTGGCCATAGGTTCTAAGCCCAGAGTCCATCCGTGGGAGATGGTAGAATCTCTCCTCTTACACAAGCTCAGAACCACTCACAAGGTTCAAAGCCGAAACAATGTTCGGTGCTACTTAACCCAGGGCCAAGTGCTAATAAAGAAATAATAAAGAAACCTGGCTAGCATCCCATCTAGAGGTAAGGCTCTATCATTTACAACTTAAATTTTAGTTCCCTGTGTGTTTTCCTCAGGAGAAAGCTCAGTTAAATAAACGTATTACCCTCACAAACCATTTAATAACAAGGAAAAAAAGGTGACACAATCGAATGAATTAAAAGTTTAATTCTGAACCATTTTTATAACCGCATTTTCTCTTGAAGCATCGTATCACAGCAGGTTACAACAACTTTGGGATAAAAGGCAACTGGTAAACTGTCCAAAACAAGGTTCCAAATAACACCTCTGACTGATTTACCCTACCCATACATATCCCAAATAAAGTTTTTGATCAAAAACATGAAATAGATCCACCTGCTTATTTTAAGCATATTAAAAAGGAAACTAATTGGACCATTTCTATTTGTCTATTTTATACAAAAAGGCTACACAATGTTACACTTTATTCAGATTACAATTAGAGTGATTATGAATTAGTGTTCTACACCATTACTCAATTCTTAAAAATTAGAAATTGCTGTAGCAGTATTCACTATAACTTAACACTACAAGACTTAAAAAACTAACAGTTACTGCAAAAAAAATTAAAGAGCTACTTCAAAGCAAGCAAAGTCAGTACCATTACAGATATTAAAAAAAAATTTAACAAGCAAGGCTAGAGTTTGATAAATTCCATCTTGTGATCCATTCTTGTGCATTCTTCACTTCTTGAGTCACTCCCAAAATCCATTTGTATTGTTACTCCTCGACCAAAAAGGACCAGAACAAAAAGTTTACTTCAATTGTTCCCATAGGAAACTCAGCTTGGTTAGTGTGTCAGGCACTTTCTGAGATACCAGCCCACCCCTCGAGCCCTCTCAGCAACTCTACAGGCCAATCACAATGCAAGTTCAGACAATACAGCTGTATAAAGAGAGAAAGGCTGCTATTAATGTTTAAAACAGCAAATGTTACTCATTTGAGTATTAAGTTGCAAAAGCTGTGGCAAAAAACATTAAAGTTAATGACTTCCACACATTACCACGTAACAACCAGAAATCTGAGAACATTCAAATGTTCTAAGACATCTCCTTTCAAAGTATGGATCTGTTTTTGTGGCAGATTTACAGAGGCCTAAGCCACTCCCACCCTACCAACCAAGTCTTTCTGAAGTTCTGTAGGCAGAGTAAAAGTGTTTTACCCAAACTGGCTTTTAACTTCTTACCTAAAGGATGATTTACAGGTCAGTATCAAACCAGGCCAGCTGATTGCTGTCACCTGGAGGCAGCCCGTCCATGAGGTCCTGGGCATGCCCCAGATCTGGCAGCCCATCAACTGGATAGTCAGCACCAGGGTGATGGCCACCCATCTCATGCTCCATCATGGGGTCCATTCCCAAGGCATCCTGGCCATATCCACCAGAGTGAAAAGAACGATAGCTGGGATCTAGGAGAGTTGGGGTGTCAACAAAATGAGCGAGAGAGAGAGAGAGAGAGAGAGAGAGAGAGAGGGGGAGAGAGCAGAAAGACAGAAAAGTTAACGCTGAGGTTAGGGGCATCCAGTGGCAAGCACACCTATCAGAATGCACTGCTTTCTGGCCCCTTCAGCTTCTAACTTTCTTCAGCCAAGTAATTACCCAATGCCAGGCCACCCATGAGGCTACGCAATCTACTGCGTCTGACCACCCAGGCATCACGAAGCCATGGGCAGAAGATGAAGGCAGTAACAAGGACGTCTGGCAGATGTAATCTCTGTTGAAAAGTCCAGGTGACACCCACAAAAGTACTGAGAAAACTCAAGACACTGTTTCCAATGAAACCTTTACCCATTTATTTTCAGGGTTGGCATGTATATGTTTGCCAAGGTAAGAAGCTTATGGGCTTTAGTGGTTTAGTAATTGGGAATAGCCAGTTAGGATTATAAATTTCAGATAGATAGTTATAGTAGCTATATAAATTTCAGATAGATAGTTATAGTAGCTATGAGTGGTCTAACCCATGGCTCCGTCTCCATTACCAAGAGCTGAATGAGCTTTACAGAAACTCTTAGTAATACAACTATGTAAACATCCACCCCAGAGGTGAGCTTGGGGACAGAAGTTTCCCAAACTCTCACTTCCTGGGCAAGTTGCAGACACAGGTCCTATGGCTCCTCTGACAAATGAAGCCGGACAATGTGTGTCGTCCTGCACTGCAGAGGCCCCACAGTGTGATGTGGATTTGTCGGTGGGACTGGTGCGAGCTCAGTGTACGGCTCAGAACCCTGGGTTCGGTTAGAGACACTGCTGCTAATTCTGGAATCTAAGAGCTGCTTTGATGGCTGCCACCACTTTTCCTGCCAACACTAGCTTCCACACAGGCAAACCAGCTCTTTTGATAAAGTTTTGGAAGTGTAGCTTGCTCTGAAGTTAATTGAGAAATAGTAGCCACGTACCATCCTGGCGATATCCAAGGGGTTCTCCCTGGGCACCAATATCAAGTCCAAGGTCAGCAGTCTAGATGAACAGGCACAAGGCAAAGGAGCAAATGAAAACTCTCAAAGTATACTTAATACTCTCCAGTATTTTGGAAACATGCTTATTTTCAGATTGCAAAAGAAACAAAGAACTCAAATATTACATAAATACTTAGAAAATACAGAAGTATATAATACAGATACTTTAAACTCCACCCCTCAGAGATTAAGCACTGAGACCTACAGAACATGTCTTCCCATCGCACACAGTATTAAAAATACTCGCTAATTCATTCTTTTAGCAAGTATATATTAAGTACTTAATGTGTGCCAGGCACCATTCTAGGTACTTGATACAACAGTAAACAAAACAGGCAAAGTGTCTCTCCCCGCCTCCCCGACAGGGTATGTTATATGAAAGCTGATTTTTAGCCTCAATAGCTGGAAGGACGAAGCTGCCATTAGCTGAGATGGAGAAAGTTATGACAGGAACAGGTTTGGGGAAAGGGGTGGGTGGGAAGTTTAGAGCCCAAGTTGGAACATGTTAGGATTGCTTATTAAAAACCCAACTAACACATTACTCACTGTTAGGCAATTTGCTTTTTCTTTCACCTAACAATATACAGGATCTCTTTCTATTCATCCAACAAATGTAACACACTGTGTTACTGTATACCATAATTCAATAAACTTTTAGGGTGGTTCTAAAGTTTCAATGTACAACGCGACGGAGGACAAATACTGAAGACAAAATTCAGAGAAATTCAAGTAGAAAAGTAGATGAAAACTGAGCATTAAAGAAAAGTTTAATAAACTGACTCCAACTAACAGTGTTTAGTAGATTGTGTCTTTCCTTACACCCTGTTGGAAAATATTGTCATCTGGTAACGTTTTCCTTTCCCTCCCTCATGAATTCGAAGGCTCGGCAGTTTAACCTGTTCGCTCTGAAAGGCTGTTTAAAGCTGTCTTTCTTCCCCACAGTAGTTGCTAATACAGCATCAAGAATGACCCTTCAGGCCAGGGACACAGTCACCACCAGTGGACGCGCACTGAATGCTCTGGGGGATCTCCAACTGCCTCACTGCTCCACCAACTACCAGACACATGCACCCTCACTGCCTACCTCATTCCAAGCCATGGGCTCCGTTCTGAAGAGAGAACTGGTCAGCTCAACGGAAAGCCGCTTCTTATAATCCTGCGGCTTGTCCTCGGACATTCGGAACAGAACAGCAGCTGCGTATGTTGCTGGGGAGACAGGGAAAAGGCCCGTAAGGAGAGACTGAGGCTGCATGGTGTACCCCGCCGCTCCCGGCGCTGCCTCCTTTACTTACCCACACCTTCATTCCTTGAGTGCAGTAACTCTGTCAGAGGAGCTGTGGCCCCCTCGGCTTCAATGGCTTCTGCAGCCTCCTTGTCCTGAGCAAGTTCACAGAGGACCCCTGCAGCTACTCTTTGGATGTTTTCAATGGGAGAGTAAAGCAGCTAAGGAGAAAACACATACCAACAACACCTAATTAAATCAAAACACAGCATGCACCCCACTTTGGTGCCAACTTTCCCAATTCAGAGTGTAAGCAGCATCCATACTGTTTGTATTAAATCATACAGTCATGCCCTGCTTAATGATGGGGACATGTTCAGAGAAATGTGTCATCAGGCGATTTCATTGTGCGAACATCCCAGAGTGACTTACACAACTGGATGGCCTAGCCTGCTACACACCTGGGCTGTATGGTGGAGCCTACTGCTCTGAGGCTACAAGCCAGTACAGCACCTTACTGCGCTGAACACTGTGGCAGTTGTAACACAATGTAAGGATGGGTTTGTTTACTCCAGCATCACCACAAACCTGAGGCATGTGCTGTGCTTGTTACAGCACTAGGCGGCGGCAGACCTTTTCGGCACCGTCATGATCTTATGGGGTCGCCGTGGTTATGCGCGGTCCTCCGCTGACCGAAGCGTCACTATGCAGCTCAAGACTGTATTCTCTAACTTTATTTTCCAAAGTGTTTAATGCCCTGGAGCACTGGTTTTCTGGGATATTTTTAGCTACAAACCCTTTCTTTAAAGTGTTTCTGTCGTGCTAAGATTTGGAAAACCCAGGGGCTCTGTCAGCCCAGACCAGCTATCGTCCCTCCAAAACTGAGCACCCCTAAAAGTGGAGTGCAAAGTCTTCTCCCTCTTCATGAGGCCTCTAGTCCCAATGTTTCTCCTACTGCCCGCCCCCAAAATGAAGGGACTTTTCATAAAACAAAATGTATCCAACATAAAGGACACTGCACGTTGAGATTTTACTTTTCATCCTTTGGCAGGAGCGTGGGCAGACTCATCATTTTACAAATGACAGTAGATGAATAGTAAATGGTAAATCGTTAATAAATAAATAGTAAATCGTTAAAATCCTGAAATATTATGGACACATAAAATCTAGAACACCTCCCTTAAAACCAACATACCTGCACAAACAATGGAATGGTGTTTAGTCCTCTGATAACGATTCGGTTGTGAACATCCCGAGCGAGGATGTGAAGGGCTCCAGTACAACCTTCGACTATTTCTTCCATGCGGACCCCCTCCTACCAAAAGAAACGTGGTCTCAAATAGGGCATTCTCCTTCCTAAAGTTTCAAGTTTGAAAGACTTTCTGTTCTGAGTAGCAATTATCAGTTATTCACATTACACACCCAGTTTCTCAGAGGTTGCAATCAGTGCAGGAAAGGGGGTCGCAGGGCAGCACCAAGTCTGCGCAGCGCCCCTCCCCCACGCTGTGCAGTGAGGGGCAGCTTCCATATACCTGAGTCCCAAAGGCCTTTCTTACAGAGGGCACTGCCCACCCAACTCTACTAAGAGGGAACGAGAAAAGAAAGGTACACACAGAGGAGAGCAACACAGACTATGTCGGTGTTTCTCCTTCACATGCTCCATTTTCATACACTTACTTATGTTTGGTGAAAACTTAGCGAAGTTTTATCACCAACTACTAAAATTCTACTGAGCTGCCAGCAGAAAATCCACTCCTCACCTCCCCCAGACTTTTCAACTGATAGCCTGTATGAGAGAAGGAAATCAGCTTTTTACAAAATCTAAGTACTACCTGCTTTCCCTGTTTGAGTTTTTAAAAAGGTTATGATTCTGCTACTTTTATAAACATCGTGAT